CCCCAAAACCCCAAAACCCCCAAAACCCCAAAACCCCGACCATTGAAATCGATATAAGTAGAGATAGATTTAATTTTTCTAAATAATCTCAATAGATTTTGATATTCATTTAATCGCTGCAATTCAATTCTTTTCTTGAGATTGATATATCATTATAATAATCATAACTTAGGCATTGTAATACTATCATCCATTAATTAGTCAGATATCTCAATTCTAATCACAGTTTATTTATGAGTCCAAGATCTTCTTCTAATCCTTCTATCAGTATTAAACCCGTAATTATCGCAAGTAGAATAATGATCCCCATACCAAAGTCCAACAGCAACATGCTTGGTAAGCTCAACTAGTTAATCATATGTTTTCTCCTTCCCCAAGGATTTTAGCTCTTCATGTTTATCTATATATGGCTAATTATTGTAAACATAGAGATCTGTTCTCTACTAATCACTCATTAAATCAGTCTTATCAAATATTTTCTTTACTAATTTGCGAAGCTCATCTTCATCCTTAATCTCTGCTAAAGCCATGTAATGCATTTTATTAGTTTGGTAGTTGAGTAGATTGGTATTCAATTAGCTCGCAATCTATTATAACTTTTAGTAGCTGGGAGATAAAAATAAGAGCATCGATATCAATACTACCTGTGGTGGAAATAGAGGAATCTTCTATTGCTCATAAAGGGTCAATGCTTCATCTGGAGACAGCCATTTATATTCTGTGAACTCCTCCTCATTTAGTACTATCTTTTGATTCTTTAGATTATTATCTTCAAAATACAGATAAAACTGAGAATCATTAGCTGGGTGGAGTCCTATTGGTGAGCCTATTCTGTGGAAGGCTTGTAAACCAGATATCTTTGGAGTTTAGGAATAGTCTTTACAAAAGTCTGAAAAATGTGACTTATGCTTCTTCAGATAATTAGTCATATTTGCATGTTCATTTTATGTTTACTCTTCTGACAACAAAATATTAGTCTCTTCATATAACTCCCTTAAGCAGCACATTCTTTTCACAAAATCTTAAACATGTGCTCCATGTTACTGATAGAAAGAAGGAAAACTTTTTTCCCATTTTTCCTTTAGATCCTATTTTTCGAGCATTCCTCCTGGAAAAGCGAAGAAATTTCCAAATGAGATCTTAGAGTTTCTTTTAAGAAGCAGTATCTAGTAATCATACTTAGAATCAGGGACTATGTGAACTTCTTTATTCAAAGGCATCTGCTGTCGAGGTCTAATCATTATTACTGATGAGGATATTGGTATGTATTTTGATGGATAAGATATTTTAAACATTTTTATTAATGTAATGATTTTAAATCATGCACTGCTTTAGTAAAATAATCAGAACTGCCTAATGTGTTTATTTTTAATAAGCTTAATAAATTTCTTTGAGATTTAATAATATCAAAGTTAACTTTTTTATTTAATGGATAATTCTTAGGCACATAGCAATTAACCTCCTCAAAAAGGAAAATAAAAAAATTATAACAAAGATTTAGATGAGGTATTAATGGCAAGTAAACTTGATAATTATGGGAAGATGTAGTAAGCTCAGCAAAATACTAGATATTTGGAACAACCGATAATTATTAGTGACTTTAATATGCAGAAGAACGACAGTCAATCACTTTTGATATCTTAAGAAACCACTTAAAAGATTAAAGAATAAAACTAAATTGTTCTTGAATAGATTGCGTGAGTAAAGGATGAAATATAGAATTAGAAGTAATTTGAATATGTAAAGACTTTAGTAAACTAGAGCTCTAAAGGAAGTATTGCTGTAGATTCTAAAAGAAGAAACTAAAGTAATGGCACTAAAGATTCAATTATCTATGCCCGAGAAAGTAATTTAAAAAATATTTAAAATACTTAACAAAATAACAGTAATCATCCAATATAATCCGAGTAATAATAGAAATAGCAACATAGATTAGGCAATTAAAGAGCTTAAAAAATCAATAATCAAATTAAGCTAGAGAGGATTAATGAAGATCAGATTAAATAGCTTAATCCCAAGAGTAATGGCATTAGCAATAATAGTCTGAGTTTTAAAGCTAATAAGTATGATGCAAATCGCAATAATAGTATGAATGAAACATAAAAATTCAAAAGTAATCTAGCATTTCTTAGTGATAAACATAGATCTAGTTTAGATACTGGCAGAGATACTGCAAAAGAAACATAAAAGGCCTATGAGGCGTTGAGAATCGTTGAAGAAATCAGAAAGTCTAAAGAGTAATATGAAATGAAATAACAGCTAAAGCCTATAGAGAGTTAATCACCAGATGGCATGAAAACTCCTGAGCTATCAATGATGCAAGATTCCGTGTAAACACACTAAAACATTTAAAATAGTCATTCAATGATGAATGGATCAGATTTTAAGATTAGAGATTCTATTAATGATAGAGAGGAAGAAAAGATTTAAGACAAACTTAAAGCGAATCCTTCTTAGAAACAGGCTAGATTTTTTAATGATCAATCTTTTGGAAGAATACCAACTGTAAATGACTATTAAACAAGATAAAACTAAATTCCTTAGAATTAGGCTTCATTTGAGTTTTAATCAAAGGCTGAATAAATTAAGACACAGTCGTAGTAATAAACTTTAAGGCCTATGTTTTAATAAACCAAAAGATCTAGCAACAATTACAATGAACAGCAAACTCAGGAATAAAATCTAGATTTAAATAATGAAATTAATAATAATAATTTATAATTGGAAACTATAAATATGAGTTAAAGCTTATTGAACCAATAAAACTCTTATATCAGCAGTGTACTTCCAAAAAACTTAGACAAATATGATAGAAATAACAACTATATAAATAATATGATGGACATGTAGCAAAACCATCTAAGATTTCAACTGAATTCAAAAAATCTAGATAATTCTATTTAAAATCACTCATTTCAGCAGGTCCTAAATAAAAACTTAAACAATAATAATGGAGTACTGAAACCTACAAAATAATATAATTCACCATAGCCTCATTAGAAACAAAAGCTAAACCTTCCTCTAGTAGCTCATTCAAACGATAGCAGGGATGGCCTTAATTTAGACTCAAATGATAAGTATGTTACTCCAAAATACCATTCAAATGACAAAGCTTTGAGAAATCAGAGAATGCCCTCTCCTCTAAAGATGAATATAAAGCAAAATTTGCTAAAGGATAATTAGCAGCTATTTCAAGATTATGGAATCCAACCAATCTAGATAGCAAATGAAGATTTCTATTAATAGCAGAGATAATAGCACTCAATTGTATAAAGTCCAAATATAAATAGGATTTAAAAGTAAAAGGTAATTATGAATACGTATCTCACCCCAATTGTCTTTATCAGCAAAGATTTTCATCTTCGTAATGATGAGGTATATTTGGACTCAGAGGTAGACGACTTAACTAAAAATTAAATGACGCTTAAAAATTACAAACAGCTTGTTGACAATTCATAGAATTAGTTGTACCATTTCCCCTAGTAACTATAATCGCCTCAGTAATAAAAATAGCTGAAGTATTAAAATCCTTAATCTAACAATTATTTAATTAGACATTAGCTAAACCAAGAAGAGCCAAGAGGAAGGTCTAATAAGAGGTAATTTGCAGATCCTAATTCAGTCCAAATGACTGATTAATTATACAAATAAAGTCCTCAATAGTTTAAACAACAAGCTTTCCAATATAATTAAAGTCCAGAACCAATATACGAGGAGAATCAATATTATAAAGATCCTTAGACAAAGCCAAGGAGAGGACATCGTAGAATAAACTCTAATAATGTAAACTAAGAGATATTACCCTCGCTTACTAATAATTACAGCAATTTGAATTTCGATTCATAGTAGTTTAACACATCTGACCAGGTTTTAAGTACAAATAATCATAATAGCTAGTTCAAAGTTCCAACTATTAAGAATCAAAGAAAAGGAAACATTCAAGAAGTTGATGGGCTTTTCAATCATGATGGTACTATTATAGCAGAGAGTGGAAGGAAAAAGAATCTTAATGAGCAGAGCTAGGAAATTAATTCAAGACTAGAAAGAAAACATAGATAAAATCAAAGCAGTGTTGAGAATTAACAGATATCTGAAAGAAATCGATCTCTTGAGTCATAGAGAGATAAAAATAGTCAGGAAAAGATTGATAATCAGAGGTTGATGCTTTTTAACAATGACTCATTTGATAATTCTTAAATTAATCCTTATTATGAAGTCGATCTTGACTCTCAGGTTAAACAATTATGCTTTGAATTAGAGTACCAGCTTAATACAGGTAGCCATAGAATAGACTTAACAATTAGGAATTTGAGGTTAAAGCATCCAATCTTTAGACAAATATCAATAAGTGCCTTTAATTATATCATAGAAAATTCCTTCCTATTCAAACTAAGGCCTAATTAGGGTGCATATAAGGAGGGTTTGAAAGCTATGAAAAATATCTATTTTGTTTTGTATGGACAGTTTAACCTTAGGAGCACAAAAAGAGGTATTATTGGAGAGTCAATAGCATTAGGCTAGACTTTAGGAGAGGAGATAATATTTTAAGAAACTTAGCCTGTAGTGAGAAAAGAGAGTTGTATCTCTGATGAAGATGCTGGGCTGTTATAAATGAATGTAGATGATTTACATGCAATGAATAATTACAGATAAAAAAAAGGTGGCGGCATCTCAATGATCAAGGACTACTAGGTGCTTCTTGATATACTTGAGTAAAACTATTAAGAGAAGTCTGAACTTAGAAAGTAAGCAGGAAAATGATTTTTATAGGTGTCATTTCTCTTAATGATCTAAAGAATAAGCCTCTTGTAAATAATTCAGAGCAATTATGACTTGCAGACTTCATTTTTATTAACTGAGCTAATTAGTATTAAATATATAGATATATCTTAATTTTATAACAGTGTCTAATCAAGCATTTATTTTTTTTTTATTTTTTGTAAGCGACCTCGGCGAGTACAAGTTCATGAAAGGAACTTGGCCTATGAAAAGAGCTTAAATTGGTATGCCTAAGCGGGGAAATGAAACTTCATACAACCCAAAGGTTTATTCAGAGCCATCAACATGCCAGGCTTTTTTATTTTTCATAATTTTTAAGTATTTTATATAATAATTATAATTCTAGAATTAATCGAGAATTTATACTGCGGGGTTTTGGGGTTTTGGGGTTTTGGGG